CACTATCCCTATCCTTCCGAGTACACCCACTCGTCCTTGGGCTAGCCATAACCCACTCCGAACTCGGACTCGACAACTCCCTCGGACCAAGCTTCGATGACCTCACCACCGCAGGCGACACATTCACCATCGGGTTCCCAGGTGAAGAAGACGAAGAAGCAGAAGGAGGGGAACCGGCAGAAGTCGACGATCTCGGACGCGAAGACCCAACACCAAGTCTCGACGCCCCTCCATGCACCGGCAACGGCGGCTCCGCGCGTTTCTCAACCTGCGGAACTACCCCTCCCCTCACTTTCGCTTTCCGTACGAGCGTAGCGAGATCAGGGCTGCTGCTCGTACCAGGCGCACGATACAAGCTTCGTCTCCTAGTCTGCATATCAGAGTCTTCGGCATCGAAGAAAATGTCGTTGGAGCTGGTCGTAGAGGAACATCTTGCGGAGGAGGGGCCGGGCCCTGGGGATGGGGTGGGTGGGACGATGACGGGCGTAGGTGGTGCGTGAGCGTGGGCATGAGCGCGTCCCAACTGCGTTCGCGAATCCCTTGATGGGGGTCGGGATGAAGGCGAAGTGAATTCGTGTGCAGGAGGGGCAGGGCTGTCAGATACGCCCAGTGTATTGATATCAAGGCTCTCTTTTAGCTTCACCGTGCCCCCATGCCTTAGTGCTTGTTCGAAATCGAGGTCGGTGCGAGAGATGCGGCGGGACTCTTTAATGTCTTTGGAAGCTACGGGTTGGAGCTGGCCATTGGAGAAGGAGGTCAGCGGCATCGGGGGGCGTTGTTGGGGAGGAGGCGGCACATGTTTGAAGAATGAAGCCAGGTTGAATGAATGAAATTTAGTGACTGGTCTTGTCGTTGGCGATACAGCGTTCGAAATCAAATTACGAAAGGCAAGTTTTTTTTTTCTAAAAAAAAAACAAACTCGCAAAATAGTTTGGAACTAGAACTTTGAACTTTGTTGAGCTTAAGCGGAATGGAAGGGCTTCGCAATTTTCTGATACAATTTCGCGTGTCCAACCTAGGGTAGCTGCTAGGGTCGTATATTCTACACCTCTTTGGGAATAAACCATCGTACTGGAAGACATAATCATGCAAGACAGAACATGATGTACACGTATGCAAGCAAGCAAAGAGATGAAGCGGATGGAAAGGAAAATAATCTATGGCCAATGGAATATCTACGTACCATCCTGCGATCCGGGCAAGATCAAAAAAAAATATCATGCTGACCACATAACAGGGAACATCATACATCGGACAACCTCAATCAACTCAAGTCTCACAGACCAGCGTCGTCACCCCTTCGAGACATCGTAGGTGCACTGGGGATCTGCCCACTCGTAGACGTCCGACGTTGTCTCTTCATCGCGACGGGGGGAGACAGGCCCAGCCCCACTCTATTCGCGGCCGTCCCCCCTCGGCCATTTGTGAATGTCGGCACCGTGCTAGTTGTCGATGCACGGGGCCGAGTATTCGATGATGCAAGTTTGGGCAATCCAGCGCCCCCTTTGCGTGCGTTTCCGTTAGGAGCACCAGAAGCCCGGTTCCTACCATGCCAACATCAGACATCGCCAAAATAATAACAATTAATTACGAACCGTTTCTTAATCACGTCCGTCTTCAGCGACAGCGGACGAACGACGCCATGCAGTTTCTTTTCTCGGAATCAGTATCAACATGCAGTATCAAGTACGTCAAGAACTCACGAAAAATAACCCGCATGCATTGCCTGTGCGAAAACGCCATCAGTCAGCCAAATACCCCAAAATTAGCGGCGGAGAACACATACACAAAGGCTGTCCTTCGGGATCGCGTCTCCACAGCGGCGTATTTGTAGTCTGGCAGTTCGTACATGACGTGGGTGGCTGATCCCCATCATCACTACTGCCTTTCGGATTGCCAGCACTCCCATCTCTTGTACTCAGATCAGGGGTACTCGTCGCTGATCGCGATACGGTCCCGATTGTGGGGCTCAACGCAGAAACTGATTTCTTGCGCCTGATTTCCTGGGCGATACGTTTCGTGGATGCGATTTTCCGCATCTGATTTCGTGAGTTGGGGCCCGTGGTGGCACCTTCGACAGATGGGGGTGAAGAAGCGCTAGAGGTTAAATATGGTTCAGGGGATGCGGTTGAACTGGACGTAAGGCCATTGCCCCATCCGTCGCTTGATGGACTAGCATGGTAGCTCTGTAAGACCCCGTCGCCATGCTCCACTGGAAGAATCTGTGTGGGATCAACTGTATATGGGCCTTGTGCGAGATTGACGCTCGAGTCGATGTTTCCAAACGGAAGTCCAAGTAAATGGCTATAGTCGTCCGATGAAAAGTTGGCAGCGGCGCTGAGATTACGATATCCTTCGGCCATCACTGCACTTGCAGCGGCAGCGGCAGCCGAGAGTCCCTCATTGACGCCAGAAGCAGACCCATATGCAGAACCGTTCAGAGGATGTGAAACAGAATCATGGAACGACGAATGAGAATCGTCTGTGGCGTGGAGCATATGCGAGAATTCGTTATGTGAGCCACCGTGCATATCAAACATCCCATAGTCCCGCGGGAAGCAGAAGTTGAAAGGGGTGGAAGGGAAGGGACTGGTGCTCACGTACTGATCTGGCTCCTGAGTGGTGCGGGGATTGCCGTCTACGTTGGAGGGATCTGCGCGTAGCATACTCTCTGCATGAGGTGCTTCTGCTCTCCGTTTCTGCCCAATTAAACTATCGGGCGACAAGGGCTTGCCATTGACCTGATGTCTGCCGCTGACACCCGTAAATAGACCCTCCCGCTTGACAGTATGATCGAAGCTCGTTTTTCGCACGTGTCTAGGGAAGGCACGTGCTTTGGGTGACTGATCTGGGAGTAGTTTCGAACCTCCGTGGAAACCGAAAGAGGGGAGCGAGGACGGGTGGAAAGCGGGCGTATTGAGGGCAGAGAGGGAGTGGTTAAGCTGACCGATTTGTTGGTCGTGATGGAGTGTGTGTGTGAAAGAGAGTGGATCGTGGTCGACTTGGCCTTCATAAACGGCTGGGAGGGTGCCAGAGAGTCCAGAACGGGGTGCCGAAGAAGACCCCGGATAAGAACGATGAGTAGAGGCTCCAGGTATTGGAATACTGGGTGAGGTAGCGAGGGATTCGAGATGTGATTCCCTATTTGAATAGCCATTTCGTCTGTCCCTATCGCCGTTGGTTGGGTGAGAGGGGAAATGATATCGGGAATCAGTTTGAGGAGATATGATACCATGATGATCAAAGGTTGCTGCGGACTGGGGTGGCCTTGAACGGGAACGAGATTGAGGTCTCCAGTCCATTGATATGCGAGAGCGTGATCTGCTCATGGCACGCCAGTCCATCGCTACGATACTAGATGAGCGTTAAAAGGATGTCAGACATCACGTAATAAATGAGGACTGACTCGTCATCTTCTATGCCATCTTGATTTGTACCGTCAAACCCGACGACTTGGACCTTTGCTTTTCCCTTGTCAATTCTACGACCTCTTTCCTCGTCAGGGTCAGGGATGGGAGTTGAAACCGCTTCTGATTTAATTTCTGAGTTGACGTTTGCTGCTTCCTCTTCCTCCTTCTTCTTCTTTAAAGCAAGCGCCATCATTCTCCAGGTGATGTTCTCCATTCTTTGAGCGTGAGGTAGGTTTGCCTTTTGCCTGGCGTACATCCTCCACACTTGAGTTGCAAGGGGATCTTGCTTTGCAAGTTTTTCTGGATCGCTTTCGTCAAAAGGAGATTCCAAGTCAGGGGAACCAGAAAGTCTAGGAGAGGTGAAGGTGCTCGGAGCATGATCCGGATGTGGGGAACCAAAGAGGTCATCTGAAAAAATGTCGCTAAATATTGCGGATTTTGATTCGATTGTCTCTGAGGGAGATGAAGGTTTGTTTGAGGAAAGAGGGGAAGGCTCCGGATGCGAAGGTATTGTGAGCTGAGTTAAAGGGGAGTATAGGGGAGTCGAAGGAGTCGTTGAAGCGGGAGACATCCATAGTGAAGGTGGTAAACCAACATTAGAGCGTTCGACAGGATGATCGAAAATGGAAAAATCTGTTGCTGAGGGGTCAGAGGCTGAGGCTCCATCTGGATGTCTAGATAAATGGAGGTTCAAAGTATCGTTATTCTAATTTAAAATGTTAAAATATACTGTGAACGAATATTTAATTACTTACGGCTATACGACGAGGACGAGAATTGAGAGTGGACATTGGCTGCTCTTGGGATGAAGAGTTGACCCTGGTACGTGGTAGCTCTTGGGATGAAGAGTGAACCCTACTCAGGGATGGTCTAAGATGACCGGAGATGGAAGTTGGTGCATGTGACCAAGATGATGATGAATGTTCAGTGTAATGTCTCGAGTGATGATGATCTGGACGCGGTACTGGAAATACGCCATTAGCAGCCAATGTTGCAAAGACTGAGGGATTTAAAGGAGCTGAAAATAAAGAGTTCCATTCGATATGGTGTTGAGTTTCATCTGAATGATGATGAAGCATGGATGAATGGTAAGGGTGAGGGTCTGATGATGGGAATGAAGTATTGAGGGTCGGACATTCAGATACAGGCCATGAAGAGACAATATTTTTATCGTCTGATGAACTTGTTGACGGGGACAGCATGCGTGGAACAGAACATAAAAATTGAATATGGGATTGAAGGAGAAGAAGGGCTTTAGTTTAGGGACGAGGTACGATGAAGGAGGACCCCCAAGTACAAGTTAAAATTATACATAGAATCCCCTCTGCCCTTGTAAAATTCACATGTCTCTCAAGTGTTCGGGGTCTTCTCTATGATCATCTCTACTCGGGCCCTAGCTTAATTTGGATCAAGTTTTTTTCACACACTTTACTTGGTGCCAAGCCGGTCGGATCTTCCTTTTTTTTCTAATTTTATCAATTAACTACCGTATAATCCCCAATGGCCAAGGGTATATTCCTCATCCATATTTAAAATAAATCTTTAATTTGAGACATATTGAACCGTTAAACCGTGTCAACAATCCTCGTGCCTCGACCAGCTCTAGAATCTCACCCCGTCATCACCGCCCTGTATATATTAACTTCGGCCCGGTTAGATCAAACATCCTATAGAACCACGTCATACACCCGACTCCGATCCCACTCTCCGTGCGAATCACTCCTCCCACCACGCCGCCCGCGCCACCATCATACGCCACTTATCATTTCTAGAAACTAAATTAAAACTCAAATAGGTATCTACTCCCGACTACTCCAACTTGTACATCATTGCATCCGCTTCTTACTCTCGTTTACTCTTGCTCTTGTCCTTCTCCTTCCCATCAACTTCCTCACCACCAACTTCACTCTTCGATCCATCATCATCAATCCATTTCCAAGCATTACCTAATTCCCCTCTAACAATCCCTACCCCGAACAATGACAACATACAAGCGGGGCTAAAGCGCACAAAAGAAGAACCGTCACCATAGCCTTTCCAACCCATAAAAACAAAACACACCTCAAATAAAGTAATGCAGGCTGGGCTTTGCCGAACACGTGCATCACTGCCATTGTAGTCACAAGTCCAGTAAAGTACGCTGCCAGGGTCGCGTAAAAGTACGGCTTCCTAAATGTGCCTTTGTCATCCGCACGTGCATAGTCGTAACGCAGTGCCAAGGCAACAAATGCACCGGGAATGACAATGTCCCCTAGTCCGAGTAATGTGTATCCGCGCTCGCTGGCAAAACTCAGCGATTTGGGCCACAGTAGTTTGATTGGGACATCAAGAGACGTGGCTACCGTGAGCATCTAGAACCCATAAGTTCAGTCTGGGAATCATTCTATAAATCACTTACCACGTCCGTACCAAATACCCAGTATATATCATAGAAGAACAGTCCAGACAGAAGAATACATCCCGTCTGGAACGAGTCTATTTTCAGCAGACAGATGGCATTGTAAGAGAACGACAACGCCATGATATCCGTTATAAGCGCAGACTTGCGGCTCGTTTCCGATATATTGAATAGCACAGAGGGTATCAAAGCGAGTGGAAACAACCAAATCGTCGGCGTGCGTACCGACACCGAAACCAATTCTACAAGCAGATTAAACAAAGTTCTCGAGTAAAACATCATATGAAAACACAAACCCCGTGGACCTTTCAGAATCAACACTCTATTCCGATCAAACTTCTTCCACCGTTCTTCCCCGACCGCGAATCTCATAAGCGACACAGCACTCTGGGAAACATGCGACTCGATTACAAACACGCGACATATGACACGACTCGACTCACCTTCCACACACTGCCCACGCCAGCGACAGAAAAATACCACGCGAGTAACCAATTTATCCATTCTTTTCCAAAGTACTTCATTATAGCATACATCCCGAAAAGCGCTCCTGAGCCTGCCTGTCATAATTACATCTTAGCATCGATTACATGCATTGCAACGAGGAACTCACAACTGGGAAAAGCCATGCGTCAGAGGACGAAAGCCTATCGGTCACGCCTTCATCTTCATCCTCATCTTCATCATCTTGCACGACCGATTTATCCGTTCCTTTGGTTTTTGGCTTCTTAGGCGTCTAGAAAAGTGCTCAATCCCTTTAGGCATTCACTAATGATGATCTATGTCAACGCACTGGAAGTGAGCCGTGGGCTCCCACATATATAGAGATAGAAGCTAAGCACAGAAGACCTGCATATGAAGAAATGAGGTCCCAGTCTGTGCTGGCCATCTCAATTGAATTTGGTGGGGATGTAAATGGTTGAATGAAACACTTCTTGGACTTTTTACATGCTACGTGACAGGAGACGTGTCAGTTTGGAGTTGTTTGGGGGTGTTTTATTCTAAGGGTTATGCCAAACACTAGACTTGAATTTGATTTCATGAATAGTGCCAGCTTGCCATTGAATTACTGATCATCGAGCTCGGACGTCAGCCCACAGGAGGCACGGCTAATACCCCACGGAAACAATAGACTTGGTGATGGATTTAATTTTATACAGGAGACATGGCGTAAATTCAACAAAGGACTGACTTGCTCGCTAAGGTACGTACGTACTGAACGGTCATCGGACCGCAGGAGGCACGGGCTTAATACCCCGCGGCGATACCATTCTTCCTCGAATCACTAGCCGCTGTAAACCATCAATCACACAAAAACCACGTCAAAACACCGTAACCACATACCAAAAATCCTGCCATCCATGCTCACTACCGCCTGCACAACAGCAGCCACACGATCAATCTTCGACACTAATGCGGCAACCCGTGAGTTAAAACATAATCTTTCTCATAAATAATGACGGCATTAGACATGCCTGTGATATTATGTCCCCGTTCGATCAGCGAGTTTAGTATGGCGACAGGCACGATCTCATCGGCGTCTACTTCGAGTGGGTATAGTTGATCGTGGACGCGCCCGTTTTCAATCGCAGCGCTGACATCCATTCCCCAATCGAGGTTGAGAATGACTTGCAGGACTGCGCCAAAGATTCGGCCACCACCTGATCCGCCGATGGCGAGGTAGAAGGAGCCGTCGAGGTTTTCGATTATCGTGGGTGTTGTTGAGGATAGGGGGCGTTTCCCGGGCTCGGGGTAATTATCTAGGCATTGTTAATTTGGGAGGATGGGGAGAGAGGAGCTGCGTACATGGTGAAGGCAAGAGGCCAAAACCATTAGGTCTTCCTGGAACCGAAAAATCGTCCATCTTACGAGCGCAATCAGGAGAAGTTGTTGGGACATGTGAGGGCTCACCTCATCGTTCAGAATGATGCCGGTTTCGGGATCGAGCACCATGGAACCAAATACGAGATTCACTGTGGTCGTCAATGCTACGGCCATTCCGTCCTTGTCGAGCACAGATGTATGACTTGTTCCATGATCAATCTTGACGTCAAACTCTGGATTATAGTATTCGGGGGTATGCGTACGATCCTAAAGTGTCATCCAGATACGGTAAAGCAACAGAGCACAGACAACATACATCAGTGAGATTAAGTGCCACAGCATCTGCAAAGGCTTTCGTGGAGATTTCGGCGACGCGAGCTGTTCCGTTGGTGACATATGCCAAGTCACCAATCTTTGTGCTACCGTAACGTGAGACCGGCTGTAATAAATTCGGAAAAGGACTTACCGAGCTGCAAAACCGACTGACGTGACACTGTCAGTTCCACAACAAACTATTTGAAGTAGGTAAGCGCTCACACTTCAATGCCTCTATAAAGCGGTGAATATTCAAGCCAGTTCGGCCTTCGCCGATAAAATTGTAGCGTTCTAATAGGTTCAAAATATGAAGAAGCACGGGTCCTGAAGTTGGTGCGCAGCTAGTGTACACTTTCTTATCACGATACGTTCCTTGGAGAGCGTGATCCACCTTCACAGTGTAATTCTCCAGATCTCCATTAGTCATTATTCCTCCGGTGGCTTGTACCTTGCGTATGATCGAGTCAGCTATGGGGCCCTGGCCAAAAATAACTTAAATGTAGGTCCAACATGAACCACAGCGAATATCAAACCTTGTAGAACACATTGGGTCCTTCGGATGCGATAGTAGCAAGCGTGCGTGAGTAATTCGTTCGTCTAATAGTTTCGCCTTCAAGCAGCATACGACCCTCTGGAGCGAAAATAGCTCTCCAGTCTTCTTTGGGAAGCATGAGTCTGGCAAACATCTGGAAGGTGTGTAATCAATCAATGCCTCGGATTCGCATGCCCAGCATTTTACCTGCAAACGTCGCGCTAATTCTTTATCAACCGCCCATCCAGCAGCAAGATCTATGCTTGGCTGCACGAGTCTAGCCCATGGCAATTTCCCCCAGCGTTCATGTGCTTCCTGGACTCCACGAACTTCACCGGGAACACCAACTGCCAGTCCACCCCATCGCGCAGCAGCTGGATCATCCGCGTACATGGTACTATTTGCCAAGGCTGGCGCGGTTTCTCTAAAATCAATGGTATATACTTCCGAATTACCACCCTCAGACGAGGGTGGAATGCGAACTGTCATGAATCCCCCTCCACCTATGCCCGAGCTGATTTACGTCAAAAACATGGATTTCGGAAACGCAGACAGACTCACGAAAACATGTTGACCACACCAACACAGAAAACAGCACTGATAGCAGCGTCGACAGCATTTCCTCCTTCCTTCAATATGGTGACACCAATGTCTGAACACCGTTTATTCTCGGAAGCAACGGCACCGTGTTCAGCCTCTATGAGATAGGCAGGATTACGGGTTTGTGTGCGGGATTGGGTGGGTAAGTGCGGGTGAGGTTGGTATCTCTGTAGCAGGAGCGTCGCTAGACAAATAGCAAGTAAGGCAACGAATGCACCTCTCTGCCATCTACGTCGACCTTTCGGTTCTTTCGTATACAGGTAAAGCGGGAGCTCGGCTTCAGTAGAATCAAATGGTTGCTTGAAACTATCCACCGGAGGGTCATCTTCTACGGTGGGTAATGGTGTCCTGTAATCCATAGTTGAAAACCAAGTCGACTGAAACCTTTATCTTATGGTAATGAAGGTGACCGGAACCCGGAAGTAAACATCTCACTATCATTAAGTCGTCGTCGACCTTCCTCGGCTACCCGCAGGCCTGCTGTCCGGATTCTGTGCTTCATTGCCACACGGTGCCATATTCGCACCTTACTCAGACAATTGTGGAAGGACTAATACAATTAATCCGAGTGATACCACGAGCACCACATGCCGGCACGTGCAGGGGCCGGTTTGGGTTATTATGGCCTTATGTAATTCAATCTTGGTAATAGCCTCATTTTGATTCACTCTCGTAGGGAGCCACAATCCGAAGTCCTATTTATTCACCGTGACAGACCGAGTCTAGATCTGACCGACAGACAAGTTGACAGTCGCTGTCTCAGGCATCCCAAGTGGAGGCGCAACGATGCCAGCTCACCGTCACCGATCGCTAATGTTTCAATATGACAGCTCAGAGGCCGACAATGTTTCGAATATTGGCTCTTTGAGCCATGCGAGGTGAGTCCGAAATCCATATTCTATCAATACACCCCACTCACCAGAATACCTCACGAGAGTTTCAGTTTTTCACCGATGATATACAAAGGAATAAGAGGAACTGGTATGTCCAAAGTCTCAATTGCAAATTGAAGTGATGCTATGTTACAACGTTTTGTCAGACATTACGCCAGAACCTCTGAAACGCAGGAAAACCCTGGGACTCAACACTCGTTTTGATCGGATGCTGGCCCAAGTGCACGTCTCAAATTCGTACAGTCTTGATCCGAAAACGCGTCGAAAGCGTGCGCGTTCTTCCGGGTCTTCCTCCGTCAGCAGTTATGATCTTCCTAAGACACCTGTGGACGCATACAGCCATGAGGATAGACTTGGAAGTGACTTCTCTGTGTCGAAAATGAATAACAGGGCGTCGAACCCAGCAAAGTCTCCCTCGGTATATCAAAAGGTACGATATATGCGCGCGCTTTTATGCTCATGAGAACCCAAACTGGGCTATTGCGGCATCAGGGTTCTAAAGTACGCCTACCAACAAAGGCCCTACCGATGTGGCTCGCGAGTACGTTCAGTGCCTTAGAACCCGAGCATCCACTTCGAGAATTGCTTCCTCTGGCCCACGAAGATACGACCGAAGCCAGAACTCAGAACGAACCCCGACCATGTTCTCAAGAAGCCAGGGAAGGTCACATGTTTGCATTCTCCCCGTTCGATGTCGTTCTACAAGAAAATAATGATGCAGCTCATGAAGCTTCACGTCCGCCGTCTGCTGACCTTGCCTTCTGTGACGTTGGATTACTGCCTTGTGACCCGTCAACCGTCAACGTGGAGTTACAAACATTTCATCTCGGGGAAGATACTCTAGGTTTTCGCCCATTTTCAACTCCCGGCTCGTTCGCCGCTCTACAACACACTGTTAATTCAAATGCTTCATCTAACTTGGCCCGCCCATCAGGATCGCAGAAGACCTCAGTGCATGTGAAACCACCCCTTTTGTCTCACAACACAAGTGTCAACCATGCCAATTTCACATCATCCCCTGTTTTTCGTTCAACTATTGCAGAGCCGGAAACTCACTTGTCCTCCTTCTGCCGCGGACCGTCTGTTGCTTCTAACGATTTTGGACCTCACTCACCGACGGAAGAGAATGAACTGACGATGAATATATTTTCCACCCCCGGACCGGCATTTACCGTCTCTCGACCAGTGTACTTCGATTCTCCCACTGAAGATCCATCATTGTCCGACCCTCTGGAACCGGAATCCTACGAGCTTGACTTGGACGCACTTGATTTCCGCTGGCAGCCATTCTTGAGGAAGACTTTGCGTGATCCCAGCGTGGCCGGCAGGCAAACTTATGACATGCATGCTTCAGCTACGATTCCTCCTGACTTTGATTATTCCGACATCCCTTTGTCGCGTTCGCCTCATTCCTTCTATGGCGTCGTTGACGATCAAGTAGCAACGGTGGAGGCACGTGGCGCACGTGTAGAATCCGACCTTTATAATGGACCCGTTCGCGGCTCACCTGTATCTGGACACGCCATCCGACAATTATCATCTCCTCAGCTGAATGGCCAAAGCGGCACAGCGGTTTTTGCTCCCCCTTCTAGAATTTTCATTACGATTCCTCCCGTCTCTGCAGGCCCTAACATCCTTTTATCACATCCGCCTCATGTTTTCCGTAGTGTCGCCGAAGACCAAGCAACAAGACCAGAAGCATCTAACGCACCCGTAGAATACGACCTTCGTGATGGACCTATTCGCGATTCACCTATATCCGGATATGTCATCCAAGAATCTCCATTACCTCAGTTGAATGGCCAAAATGGCGCAGTGGTCTTCGCTCCCACTGCGGGAATTTTTGTTTCACCGCTAAAGGGAGCAACATCATCCCCTGCGGTCCCTGGTATTGCTGATGTACAAGAAGTAAGCCCACATGAAACAAAACCATCTCGTCGTGTTTAAACTGATCTTGTCAAAGCTTACCGCGGAAAATATAACATGCACCACAGAGAGCCGCGAGCAACCTTCCACGCCCACACGCTCAACTCAGGCGTCACAACCAGCAACACCGAGGAAAGATCGACCAAGCCAAACACACAGTACGCCGATCTTGCCTCGGCAAGAACAACGATCGACTGTCTCGTGGATGTTGTCACGGCGGTCACTTGCAGGGAGGAGCAGCGTTTGCCATGATGAAATCGAGGGATTGCTTTCGCAGCGTTCAGATACTAGTCATGACACAATTGAATCATGGGCGGATGGTCATTAGCGAATTTGAGCATTCCACACCTACATTTTCGTCAGTAAACTCAAACTCTACAACGTTCCTTAATCCAAGTTAGAAGTATTCATTAGAATATAAGTATTGCGAGGGTATATAAATCCAAGTGAGCCGGTGGAGAATTACCAAACAACTTCAGCACCGTCAAACGGGTGGATGGTCACCCCACGTTCTCCCCGTGACTTTCGCAGCTTGTGTCGCTCCAGAGTATATACCTCGTATGAAGAGGCTGCAAGCATCATTGCACGGATGTGGTGCGGGTGCGAGTTGGCAGCCACTGCATGTTTTCGGGACTGCCAGATGCACGTTGCAAGGTTCATACCCGTTTCTGGATCTGGCACACCATACCAATACATGATAAGCTAGGGGATAAGGTCAGGTAGAGCCACTGTGAAAAGGGGTTGGTTGCATACACCACCGCTGAGCACAGCTTCCTCGTGAGCTAACTTGTCGGCATCATAGAGGGCTGTGCATGCGAGGAGAATCAGTCAAAGGTCCGGGTACGAATGATGGTTACTTACGTCCGCTGTCGCTCCCAGGCAATCGCTTGCTGCGAAAGGCAACACAATACCACTCACGCTCCTCATCTTCCGGAAGTTCTAACTCACTCCAATTGAACGCTTCGTCGTATGGTAATTCAGCATAATACGAAGTCACCGGACGGAAATGGTGCAAAGCTTTGTGCAACGACAGCGATACGGGGTCTATATCAGGTAGACGGGTCTCGGAGAGCATCGGCTGCTGTTCTAGTGATGTATGGAGTAGTATTCCGAGGTCGTGAGGTAGAGAAGAAAGTAGCGGAGGTAGATAGAGGACGGTAGATGAGGGGTTTGTGAGACTTTTAGAATTGAATGTGGGGAGCTCGTGAGGATCACGCTCAGTGTCGATAGCCCCAAGGCCGACGTCCAGATTGTCCGAGTCCGGAAGCTCAGACTCAGTGCCGTCAGCCACGAGATCAATATCTAGTGGGTGCTGTGACTCTGAGCTAACAAGTTCAGCATAACTGTGGACAAGTGTGAAACCCATGATGGCCTCGGGCGCGCTAACTCGTAGTGGGGGAAAATAGCCTAAAAATCCATGCAGAATGCATGCAGGGCTTATATCAGGTGCAAGGCCAGGGCGCACGCGATTTACCAGTCAAGTGATGAGATGTCGTTATGTTATTGCGTGATTTTTAACAATAACAGTTATCAACGACTAGAAATTAATATCGTCAAGGAGCCTAAGATAGACAGAAGGCAACCATTAGCCTACCATTGGACACCACCGTGAATAAGCTGCTTCAGTTAGAACCTCTAGAAGAGGCATAATCAAAGGCAAGTGCGGCCCTGAGGCCTGAGGTGTAATTACCATTGCCAGCCAGACCGTGACGACAGGTGGTATCTTGGCATGACTCAGATGGAACCTGCTGAACTTGAGCGGGCAGAGTACTGGGATCTGGTGTGCTCTAGACAAAGCCGTGTCACACATACACATAGCAGACATGTTAGTGTGGAGGATGTATAACAATCTGATATACAACAGTTATTTGTATCGAGAGCGGTCTCTTCGTCCTGCTTCAGGGCTTACTAAACGTTGTTCGACCAAACATGCTTATGTAAGCATCTTTCTAGGCCCCGCTGTTCCCCGAGCTTCAACTCGAACTTCACAGATGGCAGCTACGAAAAAAGCTGCAGAGTCGACTCTCTACCATGTTCATCCGAAGGGTTTTTGGAAGAAATTCCGTGAGTTTATTTATTTATTGGCTTATCGAATGTGTGCGAACGCCTCTTCCCAGGCGACGCTGTGGTCATTAATCCTGAAATCTCGAGTGGTATTCCATTAGCAGGAATATACAGATGGCCGCAGCCTGGTTCCAGACCGGAGAAATACGCAGCCCCGGCAACCAAAGGTAGGATATTGAGGCTCACTATGGGGTTTGTTCATCCTTTTTTTGTCAGCTTCCGACCCCGCCCAGAACCCGTACTGGAAGAGAGATGTTCGAAGGGCATATCCCCAGCTTTCTGTGGTCACGCAGCCCGACCTATCGTCACTTCTCATTCAACACTCTGAAGCCCAGGCGTACGTTCTCGTACCCTCTGCATGGCAGCTCCCACTGACATGTTATCATAGAATTCCTGCACCATCAGAAACCAAAGAAGGAGAGAAATCGGATGTCCCCACAAAGACCCAGGAGACCATGGATTTGACAGGTGCCATTGCTGCAATCACATCTGTGCACAAGGTGTACGACCAGTCAAAGCTCCCCCCGAAGGTGCCCACACCCTTCAAGAAGTGGAGAGCCGAGCTCGCACCGGACGCCCCTCATGATCCCAATGCTTATTTTCCAATGTTGCTATACAAGTAGTCGACTTTTGCATTACACTCGAGGATTTTCCCCCTTCTTATTGTTGGCGATAAATCCAGATATAACCATCATATCTTCCGCGCCGCGGATAATGATCTAGCAAGCGGAGATGCTTTCACTGTGAATAGGCACCTTCCTCTGTATAGCGTATACAGGAGTTTCTTTGTGCTTTTTATGGATCGAAGCCTAGCAACACTTTCACTTAGGGTACGTTACTCAGTCGCTTAGCTGTGTGACACTCGTCTTCGGTGTGGTTGTACCACCCTGTTTGATCTGCCTCTCTTGGTTGAGCATCTTCTAGAGCTCACTGATATATGGATATTAGAACCTCAAACACGAACCGCGCCTACCGGATTTCCCAACGGATATACCATTGTGATAAACCACTGGCGTGCTCCCTCTGTCGCTCTTCCAAGGCTGTTGACATAGGTCGATATCAAACGCCATGGAAGAGGGGCGTGAAGGAAGCTCGTACCAATAGGAGAGGTGCAACTCGCTTTAACGATATGTTGAACGAGAGCTCATCGCAATTTCTGTGGGGACAATGTCATATTGATCGAATTTGTATGTATCTACATCTATTATTATATTATTGATGGAAACTGGATCACTGATCGAGTGTCTCTGAACGCCGTGTCAATCCTACAGGGTATCCCCCAACTCAGCAAGCCATGTATATGGATTACTCTTGCAGTTCCATTGCCGACAACTGCTCTTCACTTTCCAACCGGATTCACATACTTCCTTAGAAGGCATGGCGCGTTTGTTGAGCCAGAGTGTGATATAACGGGTTGGTCAGAGTCTAGCCTGAGATGCAAGAGGGGGCAGTATTTGGAAGCGATAATTATAGCTTGCACACATTTTGACACAACGGTTTTCCGGGACGGTCTGGCATAGCGGACCCGATATAATCTTGGGAGATTCGTCCAGAAGAAATTTGTTGATGATTAGGTGCACACGTGTGAGGGAGCTGCGGTTTCAGAGCTCAGCGGTGTTACGCGGTTGGATACAACGCGCAATACATCTGTGTGAATACTTCGCGCATCTCGTAAACGCAAATCAAATAGGCTGAAAACGCCAATAATAAGTCTCCAACGTGCCCTGTGACAATGTGCCAGTGTGTTCTCGGCACATGAGTGCTGTGTTTTGGAAATGAAATCAACCCAAAAAAACATTCCATCGACTAACATATGAGAACTTACGCATCGTTTCAGGATAGTATCAAGCGCAGTTATGCTTTTGTTGTGCGCAAAAGCAAAATCAATGTTTTTGATTCATTTTATAACATACACGATGGATAGACCTTGTACTTTGCTCCCTTAGAGTCTGGTCTTCGCGTAGTCTCCCAAGGGAGAACAACTAGTGTCTTATCGTTGACAAGGTTATTTTATTTTCAGTCCATGCAGACCAGACACACCATCGAGGTCGTCTGGGACGACTTCAATAGCGTTCAGCTAATATACAGGATCAAGTGAGTATCTAATGGACATACGACAAACCTTGATAGCCACTGCGGGTATGAAACTCTTACCCAGCTCCCGGTAGGTGGGTGGAAACTGCCAAACACTTGCTGGACTACCTTATCCTCGTTTTTGTCATCCACCTGAGGTATTCCGACTATGATGACAGTACCTCCAGCAGTAATGATGTCATGAGCGGTTTCGTGTGTCAGGAAGAGAGCTGGCGTCAAATGCCAAAGTGATAAGAGTTGCCGTGACCTTAGCGATTGCGTTTTTTAACGCAGTGGTCGAGAGATTGCGATCGAGCACACGAGTAGCGCTGCGCGAGGAAAGAAGTCCAGTGTCGTGGAAAGAAGCTGTAGTGGTGATGGGAGAGAGTCCAAAGAGCTTAACAAGCTGTATGGATGTGAATATTGTGAATATTAGGCAAGGGACAAGATTAAGTTTGCACGCATATAGCCATGCTGCTGCGCATACAAGGACAACGAATGGGATTATGCCAACCTGCACAGAAGCCGCTTGGTCAAAAGTAATGTTATCCGGAATCTAAGAAAGAAAGAATTGACTTTGTCGGAGCGTATAATACTTTTGCAGTGGAGTCGGCAATTATAATGCAGTACTGTTGGAAAGTGGTAAACTTGCTGCCTATGTTCGCTTGAAAAAATATGTCAAAGAAATGTCAGTACTATCCTTCTATCTTTGACGCCGCTTACACCTTATCCCCTTCCTTGAAATAAGTGACGCTATGACAGTCGGACAGCTTCCATATTGCCAGCAGCCTCTTCACCAATGACTGCTGGATACGACTTGACGAAAATGAATCCATTTTCTTGTATTTTCCAATGCAAAGGGTCCAGACCGCTTGAAGTCATGTTGGCGAGAAGTTCGTCGGAGCCAGGTGCGTCAATCTTAAGTACTAACAGCGAGATCTTGTCCAATAACAGGAAGCCACAAAACTTGTTGGGTTGACATGATGTTGAACACAGGTTAGGTTGGAAGAGATCGGGAATGAAGTGCAGATATGGACAAGCGAGTGAGTACTAGGAATGGTGTAAATTGGTTATGAATCGGTGAGTTAAGTAGTGCCGGTGAGTATTCGGACTTATATGAGGAAGTGTCTGGTGCGGAAGGGGAATACTAAGTCCTGCATCTCGGACGTGACAAAACCAATCCACGTACTAGTTGTATATTATCAAGATACCGGCCTGATCTCACCAGTAAGTATTGCCAATCCGATACTGAGCCAGTATTTTGGTCGAGTAAAAGGGTATTCGTGGTCCCGTCAGTACTCGAGTGACAATTACTAATTAAAGCTGTGTTAAGGCCTTAGAATCAAACACGTACAAACAACCGCCTGAAATGTCCAACGACGCACCACCATCAGCAGCCGCGGGGGCATCCGCATCCGCTCAAGCAGCTGCTTTCGCCAACGACGACCGTATCCACTTTTCCAGAGAGACAGGAACATGGAGGCTAGAGAACGAAGATGGTACTGAACTCGAGTTTGATTCCGCCAAGGGTGTATGGGTTCCGGTGGTGAGTGTGAACTTTGTGGGGCGCTAGTGATCGTGAGGCAAGCAAATTTGGCAGCTTGATGAGGAACTGATCAAAAAGCAACAAGCTGCATATTCGGTCGCTGGCGTGGATGAAGAGGTCAAGTAATACTGTTCAATACGGTGACTCCTTAATTAATAATCTCCCCAGACACCAGCTGCGCCCGTGCTCAAACGCGCAAATAAGAAGAGGAAGGAGCCCGAAAACTACACGTCCTATACGCCTCAGACGGAGCCTTCTGCGAAGCGTGGCAAGAACGACAAGCCAGTCAAGTCCAAAAATACGGCAGTCTACGTTACTGGTCTCCCTGCAGATACTGACGTGGATGAAATCGTTGAGCGCTTTTCTAAGTTCGGAGTTATTGAGGAAGATGATGAAGGCGAATCGAAAGTGAAACTGTACGCACGCGAGGACGGGTCATTTAGTGGAGAAGCACTGGTGGTTTATTTCAAAGAAGAATCAGTGACTTTGGCAGTCAACCTCCTGGATGACGCGGAACTCCGCATAGGCGACGCATCAACGATCATGAGTGTACAGAAGGCGGAATTCCGTCACAAGCATTCAGGTGGGGTAGGAGAGGAAGTAAAACTGCGAAAAACAGTGGACAAGAAGAAGATAACTAGAAGGATCGGCAAGATGCAGAAGTATGTTCCTCCTCTCTCGGACTGCATTGTCATATATCTAATTCACCTACAGAAAGATTGAAGAATGGGATGACGAAGATGGTTTTGGCCCTGCCAAGAACGAAGAGGATGAAAAGCAAGTAGTTAACAGGAACTGCCGTGTGGTGGTTCTCAAGCACATGTTCACTCTCCAAGAGCTCGACGAAGACGCATCTCTGCTACTTGACCTGAAGGATGACGTGCGTGTCGAATGTTCAGCACTAGGAGAAGTCACAAATGTCGTTCTGTATGACGTATGTCCCATGTTTGCTATTCTGCAGCCATATCTGATATCCTTGTAGAAAGAGGCTGACGGAGTGATGTCGGTCAAGTTCAGAGACTCACTGAGTGCTCAGGCCTGTGTCATTGTACGTCTCTCTCTCACTTACTTACCCCTTGGCAAGTATTGATCAACTTTCATAGAAAATGAACAACAGGTTCTTCGCCGGAAGACGTATTGAGGCGTTTTTGTATTCAGGAAAACAGCGCTTCAAACGCAGCGGAGCGGGCGACGACTTGGATGGAGATAACGACGAATCAGAAAAACTGCGGCTGGATGACTTCGCATCGTGGCTCATGACTGATGGGGACTGATTGGATGTATTATCGTTCTTGCATCGAGCTTGCCAGTCTGACGAAGATACGAACATTCGACTTATTAAATGTATATAATGCATTTCAAGATCTTTGGACATTTATATCAGATAGCAAATTACAATAGCAACCTGAACCATAACATGACAAACCGGACCCCTCTATGAAAGAAATGTGCGTATATTTACCAACAGCTAAGAAGAGGTTTCGCAGCAACCGTCTCAAATCGCTGAGGCAGTATTGTAGATCAGATCCTCATCGATGATAGGGGGTGTACATACCTCGACAATAACAGTTCGCTTCTGCTGTTCAAGTTCGTCGACGTTCATCCAGTCCAGGCTGTGGTCAGGCTGGTGATACATCCGCCCAGCATGGCTGTTCCACCTATTGTGCTGAGGTACGAATGGTGACTCAACATGAGACATTGACTTGGACATGACTGCCAGATCCTCCTCTGTCACAGAGTTAGCGAGTGAGTGTACTTCCGGAACAGAGGTAAGCCCGCCCGGACTGCCAGGCGGGGTGAGTTGCTGTGAAGCTGATAGATCATCGGGCGGAAGCCCATCACCAGTGGGGATAAGGAGTGGTTGCGGTGCAGACGACATTCCAACATCGACTTCTTCCTCTTCGTCCTCCTCGATAACAGGTTCTTCGACGCCAAGCCGTTGCAGCCCGGCTTCGACAACGTCCAGGCGTTCAAGATGCTCGAGAACCGTGACACCTGTCGTAC